TCATTTTACAGATTTTTATTATCATTTAGAAAACATTTATTTATTGTCAGTTAATGTGTTTTCGTCTCGAACCCCTGCTGCCAGACTTTTTAAAGTTCTTTTTTTATAACAGTGTAAGGAACACTACAACTAATTAGAATTGCAGAGGTGCTACTATACAGACTCTGGCATGTTAAGACTAGTTGTCAACATAGAGAAAAGCAGACAGAAAAAAAGAAATTCTCTCTAGAAGGTCTGGAAATTACCAGTTGCTAAAAGACAAGCAGTCTGAGAAATTATCTTGAAGAAAAGAAATGCAATTGAACTACCAAACGATCTGTGGATAAACTAAAAGAACATCAAAGTGACCAATATGCTACATTTCATGGGACAGTCTAGAAGACTGAAGGTTTGTCTCACCAAAAACAAAACAATTTGTTTTGAAGATCATGGAAAGAAGCTTAAAATATTATTTTTAGGTATTTAATTTTTTAATTTATTGAATATTTTAATATCATATTTAACATTTTTAGGATATATTTACTATTTTAGTTGTTTAGATTTTTTTCATTAAAATATTATAAATAACTTACATGAATATGTATAAATATGTGTAGCCTAATGATGAAATAATGTGTAGTCCCAGTTATGACCCACTCCAATGCCCATATTAGGAACTCCAAGTCTAAGCTCCTTTTCTCTATGGCCAGAATGAATAGGGTTTTCGAAAAATCGCCTCTATCGCACCCTGTGATAAATAAAAATGTGCAGAACCCGATGCGTTTTGTCCTGTGTACATTCTTCTCTCGAGTAACACTGGATCCTCTGAATTACGAGGTCGTTAAAGAGTTGAAATATGAATATTGCTACATTTAAGCTAAAGCTACTGCGCACTGATTTGACGTCATTAGACTGGCAGCCTCCTTGAGCAGGTTTTGGCAGCGTACATTTCCATGTACAGACTTAGGGCAGACAAAAAGAAGTCAGAACAAAATCAGCGGGTTTCCCTGCAGTTCTCTGTTCTTCATCTGATGCTCGCTGAAACACGATAGAGCTTTCCTTTTAGCTTGATTTGAAAAGATCTACAAACGTACCTGCACTCAGGTTAATCCAGTACAGACTCAGCTTAATATCACTGCCCCTCTAATAAACTGATTTCGGCTATCAGAATATCCTAATTATTATTTTAATGCTGGTAACATTGCTCTGAGGACATTTTCTCAGGACATTCGCCGGCGTTTTGTTCGACTTTTCCCGTTCCACCTTAAATGGTGCAGCAGTTACGTTCTGGACTGCTGTGCCACTTAAGGTGGAACGGGAAAAGTCGAACAAGCAGCCGGCGGAAAACAAGCTGACGAGTTTCATTGAGGGTTGAAAGGCATGATATGAGGAGGTTTCACTATTAACGCTTAACAGCTGAGTAACATTAAATTATTTTTGCTGTTTCACCGAACTAAGAGGACAGTATTTTGTCTTGCTTGCTAATGTTTGTGATGGCTAGTCACAGCTGCTGCACCATTTAAGGTGGAACGGGAACATTCAAACAAGAAGCTGCGAAAAAAGCTTAATTCAGCCTCGTAGTTTTAGCACGGGTAGTATTTTTGATAAGGAGTTTTAGCCTATCCACATATCCCACCCAGAGGTTTTATTTACGAGTATACCTGTAGTTATGCGCTACGGTAAAACATTTCGATAATGTAACATTAGCACAACTCCTCAGGGCACCGCCACAGCCTGCCTTAGTTTCGTGTAGCTTAGTGACATCAAATTGATGCGCAGTAGCTTTAGCTCACATGTAGCAATATTAGTATTATAGCTAGCTTTTCACGACCTCGTAATTCGGAGGATCCAGTGGTATTCGGGAGAAAAATGTACACTGGACAAAACGTATCGGGTTCTGAACATTTTTATTTAACACAGCGTTCGACAGAGGCGATTTTTCGAAAACCCAATTCATTCTGGCCACAGACCACTGTAGTCGTGTCGTCAATTTGTAGTCGGCGCCATGTTCTTATGCCCATATTAGGAACTCCGGTTTTACGCTCCATTTCCCTATGGTCAGAATGAATTCCTGCGCATTAAGAATTTATTTTATCTTTTACGATGTTTTGTTTTGTTTATGGCCTTTATGTGAATGATCTTCCTCTACCTTGGGTCAATCCCGAATGACTGCAGGTGACACTGATATTTTTGTGCATGGTGAAACAAACCAACAGGTTGCACAGAATGGAATGTCAGCAATGAGCAGAATCTGAGAGTGCTTTGCCTTTCTTTCTGAGAAAGCTTGGATGGGTTTCCGTACTGCATAGGGCTGTCACAATCATGACATTTTAGCTGTACACACATTTTTGCTTCTATTGATTTAATTGTCCTTTCTTGTTCATTACATGCATCTAATAAAGTATAAGCCAAAAGTGGCCAAATTGGCTTATTAGCCAGCTTGCTTGCTAGCTTTGTTTAGTAGGTAGGTAACACTGTTAGTACTGTCAAATTGGTACACTGCACTGTTGGGTGCATGTACACATACTCCCACAAATGTCTTCTTTACACAGAATCAAGTGTAGAGTCATGTAACTGTTCTTTTTTTTTGTAGAGTGAGAATGTAAGCAAGAAAAACTCTCATTCTGCTAGCATGCATGCTAAAAACTTTAGAATTAGCTACATAGCTAACAAATGAACAAACATTACTTGTGCTGCCCTTTAAACATGTTGGAGCACTAAGTTAGAAGTTTTTGTTTCTCAATGAATGTGTTTACTTTTATATACTTACATTTATTTGCCTCAACCCACCACAATTCACATTTTATCTGTTGCTGCTTAATATAATTGTGAAATCTAATGTAACAATTTTTTCTTGTATTTTTTTGATAACATATACATTCTTTGTTTGGTAACAGTTATGAATTACAGAATCACCTGGTGTTTCTATTCAAATTCTGTTCAGTTTTCAGTGGTTTTCTTAGTTTATTTTGCTGTTGGAATAAATAGGCTCTGTGGCTCTTATCTAATTGAATAAAATAACAGCAATTAAATGGTTGCTTTAACATACAATGCTGTATCTTTTTGCATACACTAAAATGTAATTTGTTGCCCTGTAAACGACCTAATAATACCCACGCACAGACATAGTAGCCCTACTTTGGGCTACACAATACATATTGGTCTAAGAATATGTCTGCGCATGCCCCATGTATATACTGAATGACTTGCCCATCTGGTGCTGCTCCACAGGTTATTTCTACTGCCAAAGTCCTGACCCATCTACTGATTTACACCAGGTCCATAGTTGTTTTTCCATGAAACACGATCAGTTATTACAAGTAAACATTAAGACTTTAGAGATGTCCTTTTTTGCTTATGTTGTTATTCTGTTTGAAACAAGACAAAACCTTTTATTCCTTAACTATGAAGAAATGACACTGGCACAACACTTCAGAGTCCTGTGAAATGGAAAAAGTTTCTAGATGGCTGTGAATTAGTGGGTACAGCCCTGTTCCATATTGTACTGTAAATACATACATCAGAATGCCTGTTAGTAAACCTACCTCCTTGTGTTGACTCATAGTTTGCAGAGCAGTGCTTTGACAGTATGCAATTTTTTAACAAATACCATTCTTTCTTGTTGCTGTATAAATTGGATATTTTTATTTGGCTGTATGTCCTAAACACTTAAAGGGGAATTTCAGCAGTTTTTCAAAATTTCTGTGCTAAGATTTAAACAAAGTCATTCATAGTGGTTTGTTTTGAAATTATCCTTTCTAGAGAAACTTGGTGGAGATAGATACTGGGCATCCAAAGAATTTGAAGACCACTAAAAGTTTTCTCACAGAAGATATTACAAAAAATGTTAAGAATACAATGCCTAATGCATGAGTCTAGGGCTTGGCAATGCACCAATATTTTATCGCATCGTAATAATGGTGATGTGGACACATTTCTTTTCATACTTATCATATGTAAAAAAAATAAATATTGTGATATATCATGTCTTTTGAAAATTTATATATAAAGTATGGTGATATTTCCTTTTTGCCATATCACCCAGCACTACATATGACATGGGTTTATGAAGGTTTTGGCTTAATATTACTTTTTATAAGCACATAATGATGGAGAGGGACATGCAGAGCATTGTAAGTACTATCCAAAGAAAACATATTTTTGCCGCTATTTACCATTATCAAGATTACATATAAAAATTCAGCAGAGTGTAGGTTCACTGGTTGTTTTGGGCAGTAAATAAAATGGCTGTATTTGTGTTGTAGATATCTGCAATGCAGTGTTTCTCTACAATACACATCAGACCCCTCTGAACGCGACCTTGTTTACATCTCAACAATTGCATTATGCAGAAATTTTGAAAAATCAATGGAATTACTCTTCAAGGCATCACAGTAGAGCAGTAAAGAAACATAACATTTCTTTTCATGTAATTAAGGTAATTTAGTTTGTTGAATACTTGTTGGATGTTGAAGGGAAATGGGAAATAGAAGGGGAAAAACATACAACTACATACAACTATTCACATGCCTATTAACATAACCTATGTTGGTAGATTACTGGTTCTTGTTTTACCCCTTGGAATAACATCAATTGAAAGTCATAGAACAGTACATCCATTTTAATTTGCATAGGTATTAATTTGCAAGGTATACTCATTTTGCTTTGTATATATTACACTATTTAGATGTTTTTCCCCCTAAAATACCTATTCTACCCAACCTATTAAGCTTAATGAGATTCCTTCTTTGTCATTCTGTTTTGGCTCTTGCATTCAGAAATGTATGTATGAACTACAGGAGGTTAATATGCCCCTGCCTGCTTCCTTCAGTGTTCAGAACATTCAGTGGAAGGACTGTCACTTAATTGTTCAAGCCTTAATTGTACCTCTAATGAAAATTTGCTGTATCCTCTTCTGCCAGGCACACTAAACAGGTGTGTATATATAGGTACTTTTTTCTGTGATGAACTCAAACTTGATACTCAGTTCTCTGATTCCTTCTCTCTTCCTCCTTTCCCAGATGTATCTCCAGCCGAGCAGGAGAAGCTGTTCATCCAGAAGCTGCGGCAGTGCTGTGTCCTTTTCGACTTTGTCTCTGACCCCTTAAGTGACCTGAAATGGAAAGAGGTGAAGCGAGCAGCGCTGAGCGAAATGGTGGAGTACATCACTCACAACCGCAACGTCATCACCGAGCCTATCTACCCAGAGGTGGTCCACATGGTGAGTCACGCATGAAGAAAGTGGATGGATTAAGTCCTCATTCCTCCCCACTTTATTCAGTCCTCCAGCTGGGGCTAAAGAAAGCACCTCTGGACCAGGTCTCTATTAAGCAACCTGAACTCTGCCTGCAGGCACAGGCTTTGAAGTCTTGGCATAGTACAATAGCACTTTTGTTTTCCAGCTAAGGGAGACCGTGTGGGTCATTATCTGTCTTATCAGTGGGTTCGTGTGCAGTCTTGTGGTGCGCCAACCGCAACTGGACATTTGCATGATTAGAGGGCCATGATTAAAATGCAAAAAGTACATTTGTAGTCAAGCAACGTTTACTGTGGATGCAAGCAGTCTCATTACTCTGACACGCTTTTTGCATTGCAGTCTTTATTCTGCATGCATCCTTTTTTTTCTTTAACAAAATTTGAAAATGCCAGTTGGCCAGTTGCACTTTACAATTTGTTAAAATCTCAGGATGAACGAGTGGAACAGAAATGCTCCAAAATTAGTCTTGTTCCATTAACTTACATTAAAAATTAGGAATGTTTTTATTTCTTGTGCAAAGTTACCATTTCAAAGATAAAAGGTTTTGTCGCGACAGCAACAATATGCATGTTTTTTACATTAGCATTACTTGATTAGCCTGAAGGATATAAACTGATCTCCTGCAACTCACACTCATTACTAGTGTTGTGAACTTTTTTTTTCTCATTATTAAATATCAACAATAGCCTCAAACAGAATGATGCAGTATTTCTCTGTGTATTAAATAAAATCTGATGCTGCCGTTTGAGAATTTAATTGATATTGTCCATGATTGCTTAATTGGGTGCTATTTGTTTGTTTATGTTCATTGATTCCAAAATTCAAACATCCCCTGAGGGCACATCAGAATGTTATTTTTTCATTGTTTCATGTTTTCATTTAATTATAAAAATGGTTTGATGTTTGGTTTATTTTCAATTGATTTTAGGTGGTGACTTCTGAATTTGTTTGAGAGAATAATCCTTCCATCATTTGCTTCCAAAAGTTACAATGTAAAGTTGGACTTGCACTACACTCGTGTGCAAAAAAAAGTGCCAAGCCAAAAATGGCAGAACATTGTGTCTTTTATGGCCTTAACAACAAATCAATAAAGTACACAACTAAGTAAAGTAACCTAGTATGGAATATTTCTTCCCTTTTATTTTTCCCTTTTGTTGTTTTTAAAGTCTTGTAGGTAAACTTGCAGACTGCCTTTTACAGAAAGAAGAGTCAATATTTTTTCACTAAGCAATGATGGCTTCAAACAGTGTATTGCCAAGTTAGTTTGTGTTAAATGTGAGACCAAATATTCTCTATAGGGTTTAAATAAATTATATATATATATATATATATATATATATATATATACACACACACATATATATAAATATATATATATATTTTTTTTGCATGGACGTGTATATTATAACAATAATTAAGGTTGTAGGCCATATATTATTTGATGTTATATTTTTCAAAATATTAAATATAATATAATTACAATTGATATAATTATTTATTGATATCTAGATATCATGGGTGTCCAAACTTATCCACAAAGGGCTGGTGTGGCTGCAGGTTTTCATTCCAACAACATAGGAGTACACGTGATTAGTGGCTGAAGACAGAGACCAACTGATTAACCAAGTGGAATCAGGTGTGCTCCAGCTCGTTTGGAATCAAAACCTGCAGCCACACAGACCCTTTACGGGTAAGATTGGACACCCCTGCTATATATCATGTAAAATGAGTGGTTTTGACTCAACACTACTCATTGCTGGTTTTACTACTCATTTCTCTTTTTTGGTTTGTAAAAAAGTATTGTTCAAGTATTGAAGTTGATCCATTTTTTGGGAATGATAGCTAGCCATAGTTATGGGAGGGGCAGTTTTTATGTATACTGAACATGACATCATGCATGTTAGTTTTGAAAAAGTAGAGTGAAATTGTTTAGTTTCAATCTATCAATCTATGAAGCTTCCATCTGTACAGAGTTAGGGGCTGTTCTACTTTTCCATTCTTTTTGGACCCAGCACACCTTGATGTCCTTTGCACAGATGATCAAAGCTGCAAAATGTGTGAATATGCTAATAGATATACTGTTGTGTTAATTTGCAGTTGGAAGCTTGTTGTCAGCCCATTCAGATGTGAATGTGTTTTTAATCACATTCACTCATTAAGAGCCATGATAATACATGGACCAGTTTTGTGTTATATGCATTAATATTGTATGTACCTAATTATTGTTATTGTTGCTCACACTAATGCAGTGAAACTGTGCAAAACAGTTGAACATAACCCATCCTCACTGCTGTAAATAGTTGCTGTGACTTCATTATTCTAATTTTCATTAGTAATTATTGCAGTATTTTAGATCTCCAGGCAGTTTTGGTTTTAGTAACACTTAGTAATTTGATTCCTCCTAACGGATAATGATGTTTTTCCTGCCTCCTCTCCAGTTTGCTGTGAATATGTTCAGGACGTTACCTCCCTCATCCAACCCCACTGGAGCAGAGTTCGACCCAGAAGAGGATGAGCCCACACTAGAAGCAGCTTGGCCGCATCTACAGGTATGTCTCCATTCCATAGTCCATTATTTAACATTAAAGATTATTTTTAATAAGGGCGTGAGCAAAATTAGACGCGGGCCATGTCATACGATTTTACGTATTTATGTCACACGCACAGGCTCAAAAAGAAGGTCTGACTCAATATTTAAGTCTCGGATGCAAAATCAACATTATACTGATAAAGATATGATGACAATGGGAGTTATCTTTGAATAGTATTTCAATGCACTTGCAATCATCTGATTCATCCGCCTAGGAAAGGGGTCAGAAGCACAACCAATGTTACAAAATGTTTTTCCACATGTTGTGTGCGTTTACACTCCAAATCCCCAAACTTACATAGTGTAGCTTTTAAATAAGTAACATTCTTTTTGCTTAAGAATTCCAAAGACCTAAGATCAAATAATGTTCTTTATTTTGCAACTTTGGCTAATAAAAAATACTGATGTTAGTGAGTTCACTTAGCTTACACAGTGTGAACTTCAGGTACTTAAAAAAGAAAAGTAAAATTAAGCACAAAATGGGCCATAGCACAATTTGGTCATGAAGAAATTGGAATAAAACTTCATTATCTGTGTTTATCTGCTTTTTAATATGTGGACATAACTGAAATTGGTAAGTTTAAAAAAAAAATAATAATAGTAGAGTTTGTACATTCACAAACATTGCTGTTCCATCCTGTTGGTTCCACAGAACAACTCACACAAATAAAGTGTGCTTTTACAGGACAATAGAATTAGCTGTGCTTCTGGGTGGAATTCCAACGCAACATGCCAAAAAACCTTGCTTTTTAAAAGCTGTTCTCCTCTCTTTCTCTCTCTCCTAGCTTGTCTACGAATTCTTCCTAAGATTTTTAGAATCACCAGACTTTCAGCCAAATGTTTCAAAGAAATACATTGATCAGAAATTTGTGTTGCAGGTAAGATATATTACCACAGCAAAATTGAAACTATTTGTTTAATGTGATCTGGTGTTAAATTGTTGTACAATGTGGAATAAATAATTGTGTCTGAACTGAACCACAGCTTCTGGAGCTGTTTGACAGTGAAGACCCTCGCGAGAGAGACTTCTTGAAGACCACTCTGCATCGCATATACGGGAAATTCCTGGGACTGAGGGCGTACATTCGGAAGCAAATTAATAACATATTTTATAGGTTAGTGCGTATGTATTTTTGGTTTACAGATTTTCTTGGTTTAAATTCATATACGGTTTTAATTTCTTGTTTCACATATGCATGTTTCATAGGTTCATTTACGAAACAGAGCACCACAATGGAATCGCTGAACTATTGGAGATTCTCGGAAGGCAAGCATTTACATGATTATATAAAAAGTAAAAGAGTGACTTAATGACATCTGCCAAAATCAATGTGCATTTCATTTACTTCAACAGTATAATCAATGGTTTTGCCTTACCGTTAAAAGAAGAGCACAAGATTTTCCTGCTGAAGGTTTTATTGCCTTTACACAAAGTCAAGTCACTGAGTGTTTACCACCCACAGGTAGGTATCCTCCACTCCAAATAGCACCTAGCTTATATATAATTTATTCACTTCTACACATCTTGCAGATTGTTTTGACAGTAATTCACTTTGCACAGTTGTTGTTCACAGTCTCTCAAGCTCTTAATGCTAATGTTATGACAGGGGAAACAGACTGTCTGGTCTTACAAATTGCAGAAACATACAAGTTTCTGAAAAAAAAGTGAAGTGGGTTGGAGTTATTATTAAATTCACCAAAATACTGCACAGATACATAGTTGCTATAGTGACAGCCAGTGCATTTGAAGCCCATCTTTGCTTTTAGTATCATGGCTCCACAAAAAGATGCAGAGTGTGACAGCATAGAGACAAAAGCCCGTGCATGGAGGCGTTTTCCCCTTCTAGGAGTATGAAAATACCTCAGGCACTTTCTGTGAATCACAGCCTAAGTACTGTAGTCAGCCATGCTTTTTAGCTTGTTTACATCAGTGAGCACAAGTAATTAATGGAAAATGAGGAGGAGGGGAGGAGAGCGTCTGCCTCATGGCAAAAGTGGATCACTCTCAGGTCTCAATCAGCTCACACTTGTTTGAGATTCAGTGGTCCTGCATTCTGAGATTACACCTCATATGCTTGTCAAACAGGGTCATTTGGCAGCAAGCCGAATGGACACAGCATGCTGTTGGCTCCATCTGGCCCATGTTTGCTAGCGTTCCAGTGTCAGCATTTTTTCTTTTATTGTCAAGCCAGCCAAATGAAAATCACCCTCTTCTACTCTATTTGTAGTTGGCGTATTGCGTGGTGCAGTTCTTGGAGAAGGACAGCACACTCACTGAACCAGTAAGTCTTTTGACCTTGCATGCTCAATTTCTGGCTTAAATTAGCAACACCAGTGACCAGTTAACTCTCCTTATATTCTCCAAATTTCAGTGTAATTGTTGCCTGATTTTGGTTTTCAAAATGTCTAAAAGAATTAAAATAGTTCCACATTTTTTTGTCTGAGTCAGCATAAGGTATGAATCTCAGTTTTAATTCATAGACTTAAGAAATAGTCTTGCCTCTGATGATTTAAAATGTAATTAAAGAGAAATTTCACTGGTGTATTTCTTGCATATAATGCATAATCCAGTGATTGAGGTGTAAAGTTCAGAGTTATTCAGAGTGTTATAGAGTCAGTGTGAAACGGTGCATTGTAGAGAAACTTACTGACTCAGATTTCTTTACATTGGTGGTAATAGAAACTAGGAGTCCCATTGTATATAGCACAAGCATAGCAATTATATTTACTATGTGACTAAAATCAACAGTGATACTAGATGTGTGTTCTGAGTTTTTATGAATAAACTGTTAATGATAAATTAGTTGTGCCAATTATTTTGCCTTACAATGTATTTTAGAAAAGGATTTTTTAGGACAAGATCTTAAGTGTTGTAAAATAATGTCTGAGGCATCAAGCAGTGTATTCATAGTTATTTCAATTAATGTGTTTCTTTGAGGTAGTTTTTGTATTTGGATGGCTGGTTACTATAACCACTGTAAACAATTCTGACTCAGTAAGTTTCTCTAGAATGGCCTTTTCACATCAGGCTGTCAATGATTTAGTTATGCATACATTCAGAAAAACAATGATGGAATTCCTCTTTAAAATGTCTCACAAAGAGATACAGACCCATGTATCTCGGTATTATCTGCATAACTGTGATGTAAAATGTACGACCATCTTAAATGATCCACATCTTTAGGTCGTGATGGCCCTTCTGAAGTACTGGCCAAAGACTCACAGCCCAAAGGAGGTGATGTTCCTCAATGAGCTTGAGGAGATTCTGGATGTGATCGAACCATCCGAATTTGTTAAAGTGATGGAACCTCTGTTTCGACAGTTAGCCAAGTGTGTGTCCAGCCCACATTTCCAGGTGAGTCAGAGACTGGGTAAATTCCCAATTTGCGCATAAGTGGGTCAGGATATGAACAGCTAGCAGAACATGTAGTTTAATGCTAATGGATTATCGGAGTCAAAGCTTGGTGAACAAAAATAATACAGCTGACCTGCCATCATTCTTTTTTCACACGTTATTTTGCTCTGACTGTATCAGTTGTCTTTCTAACCCTTTATTGTGACTTCTTTTTACACCTTTGTGTGTAAACAAATGAGCCTGATGTGTTTTTGTGCTGCAGGTGGCAGAAAGAGCTCTTTACTACTGGAACAATGAGTATATAATGAGCCTCATCAGTGACAATGCTGCCAAAATCTTGCCTATAATGTTCCCAGCATTGTACCGCAACTCAAAGACACACTGGAACAAGTAAGTATTCTATCCTCAACAGATATGTTTTAAGATGAGAATCAAACAGCACAATAGAGTCCAGTTGACAAATACAAAGAGGGAGAGAGTTCCGAAATCTGGGTACTACAACAACTGAAGGCCCTAGCATCCATGGTACTAAGACAATAGGGTGGAACCAACAGCAGGCCAGCAGCAGATGATAGTAAGAAATATAGAGGGGTACAGCACTGAAGGAGATCAGGGAGGTAGGAAAGAGTCAAGTTATGGAGAGCTTTTGAAATTTTTTTTGAAATTTTGAAATGAATCAAGTATTGTACAGGAAGTCAGTTGAACAAGTACAGGCATAATGTAATGTGTTCACTGGACTTAGCACAGCTGACAATCTGAGCAGCAGTGTTTTGTATAAATTGGAGCCTCTGAAGGTAAAAGAGAGCTGGGCATAATCTGGCAACATTGTGGAGATGAAAAAGGCAATCCGGGACATATTAATATGTGGTTCGGAAGAGAGCATATTGACCAGGATGACAAAACACTGAACAACGTTCTGTGGTGGCTCAAGCAACTTCTTTACTCGTCTCTGCATTATTCAGAAAAGAGAAAGAAACTTCCACAGGACTCCGTGTACAAATGCACAAAAACAGCTGTTTATTCCAGACTGTATACGTGATGAAAATAAATTAAAACAAAACTTTCAAACCATGGTTAGGTTGTTCCAAATATAAGATGCAACACAAAGCGCAACGCTAAACACGGTAAGAAAACTGTGTTGCTACCAGTATCCTACTGCCGCTCACTCGCCACTCCCTAAAACATGTCCAGACCCAGCACCGTAGCTGCTTAGCTCTTAAAGTGACAGTGCACCTATTTTCTGAACATAAACAAATGGTGCCTGAAGACATTTGTATCTACATAATCAGTATAAATATCACTTTTGGCATCTTAATACTATGTTAAGCAGCAGTATATACATATATACACTTCTTATGAAAAAGTTAATTAACTATTTATATATACACACAATGCAAAAGATGCTGTTTATGTTTTGGCTCCTACAGATAGTGTGGACGTGGAACGAGTAAAGAGAAGACAAACTTATAATCTTCTACCCTTTGCTCTGTACAGGACCATCCATGGCTTGATTTACAATGCGCTGAAACTTTTCATGGAGATGAACCAGAAGCTCTTTGATGACTGCACACAGCAATTCAGAGCTGAAAAAAATAAGTAAGTACAGACTGTCATCACATTCGACATGGCATTCTTTTATTTGACCAAACAGTGCAAATCTTAACATAACCCTATTTTCCTATATTGCAGAGAGAGAGCAAAGTTAAAAGAACGGGAAGAGGCCTGGATTAAGATTGAGAACCTTGCCAAATCAAACCCACAGGTGTGTCTCTCTGTTTGGATGGGTACATTTGCTCTTTCAGGCTGAACATTAGTTTAAAACTGATTAAGCTGATTATATAAGAGCTCATCATGAGCATTAGGGACTGTTGGAAGCATTAAACAATACTAACTCATCTTATATGCATCAAGGAGGATGAACTACAGTTGCATAGTGTCATTTAAACTTGTATCACAGATGATCTTTCAGCAATATGTGCACATGATTCTGGTTACTGCCTGCAAGCATTCTCTGTCATGTGTTCTTGCACGTTGTGCACAATCTAATGGCATTTGGATCAATCCTTGCTTTTTAAAGCACAACTCTAGGTTATCAGAGGTTTCCAGCATAAGGATGTAGTTATTTTAATTTTGCCTGTGCACTCAACTAAGGAGGGTCTTAACAGGACATTTACAGTACACTCATCTCTCTGAAACTTCCTTAAACCTACATGCTAATGTAATTAGCAAATTAATTCCTATAATTGTAATTCTCAAACTCTTCAAACTACTCCATTCCTTTTCTTTGATTAATCTTTATCCATCTTCCTCTTTGTCTAAAACTCACCCTCTTTTTAACATTCATTTTTCTGTTTTCTTTTTCTTCTTCTTCTTTGTTTTGCACTAGTTCCTTATGTATGTTGATTCCTCTGGCCTAAATAGCCCTGTAGAAATGGAGACTGATGGGCCTTTGATAGAAGATATTCAGATGTTAAAAAAGACTGTAGAGGAGGGAGCCATTCAGGTAACTGTGGGTTTTGTCTTTTAAAGAATTATAGTTTAACATTAACATTTGTGGCACAGTAGCTCACTAATAAACTGTAGAGTTTATTAGTGTAGTGCTGAGAATGGCTGTATTAGTTGGTCTCTACACTGTTGAGCTTGATACATTCTGACATATTGCTGAATGAAGATTATTATAAGATGAGCAACAATGTATCACATTCTCTCTAGTATAATAGGATCTGAGAAGTAACTAGGCCAAACAATGTTATCTGTGAGACTGACTGATATAAGCGAAAAAAAAATTGTACACATCTGCAGATAAATATAGCACAAGCATTTAATCAAGTGGTCCCTTGGTAAATTATGCATATGCTTTAAAATAGTCATTTTCTATTTAAAGTATGTATGATTCGGAAAATAAATCTTTCCATATGGGCAGCAATGGGCTATGCATAGGAATCAGTTTATTACTACATATTTATACTTACTTACTAAGCTTTCTACCTTCTCTTCTCTTAGAGATAACTGTCATGATCAGATTAGAACTCTGTTGGGGAAGGCAGCTTCCCAGTTACACTACAAACAAGGTTTCTCTAATTTATATTATAGGTAACATAATCATACCATATATAGTTCTTAAATGGTACAGAAATTTGATTAATAAGATTATTTATATTGCTGGAGTGGATTGACAGTTAGGTTTGAATGTTGATTGCTTAACTGAATCAAGGCTTGTTTATATTCTGCAACATTCCTACTAATCTCTTTTCACCGAGGTATTATGCTTTAGCTTGTAGGGATACACGATGATATCGGAATCATATCGGTATTGGCAGATGATTAGATTTTTTAACTTGATATTTGACAATGTATTTATTGTACTGTATTATTGTATTTAACGATGTCTTATTGTATTTATTGTAGAGAGGCATGTTTAGGTGATGCTGGCCTGCTCTGCTAAAATATATGCAATTTTATTAAATTTACTGCATTTGTAAAGTTATAGATATAAATAGTATTTTTCTTTGTAAGGCCAATCTGAGTAGATGTAGTCCCAGTATCTACATTTTATAAATGTGTATGGATCCCTATCAAAAGATATGTACATGAAAAATATTGGATATGGGCATCAGTATACAATTCCCATATTGGTGCATTCCTAGTAGTATGGGTTTACAGTGTATGTACAGTCATATGCAAAAGTTTGAACATCACTATGTAAATTACGTTTTGTTGATTCTCTAAGTGGAAATAAGTTAATACATCCTATACAGAGAGCACCTGTACAAAATATGTAAATTTTAGTGCATTTATTTCCTGAGTTTAACATATTGGAAAAACATAAAATGTGAATGTACGTTAATATAAATACATAAAAATATAAAATTTGTGTGTATAAATAAACATAATCTGCCGTAACTTTTGCACATGCTACATTTAATTTTTTTAATATGTTACATTCATTAGATAAACAGTAATTGTGCACTGAAATGTGCAGAAGTGTGTTCTCTGTAGAGGATGTGTTAATTTACTTTTACAAAATCAACAAAACTTATTTTAACCCATCGGCACTCAAACATTTGCATATGTCTGTATATCATGTTCAAAATTAAGAAATAGAATAAAGTAATGTAGTCACATGCAAATGTTTGTGGCAGAAAGCAAGCTTTCAGTGTCAGAGCATAAACAAGCAAGTACCTTTGGCACTAATACTTTAAAAACATAGTAATTACTCCCAGTTAAATGTTGTGTAGCATGTTCTGGTCTGTCTAAGACAAATTCTTATGTGATCTGGGTTGTGTGCAGTTGCAGAGGGATCAGCGGAAGGACCGGCCACTGGTGAGACGCAAGTCTGACCTGCCTCAGGACATGTACACCACGAAAGCCTTGGAGTCGCACCGTCGAGCCGAAGACATGATCACCAACCATGACAGCCACTAGCTTTGTTTCTCTTCTCCTGCATCCTCTTCATTCTTTTCTAAACACAGCTCATTCAATAAACCAAGAGCGCCGAGGCATACTGCCATACACAGCACTCTCCCCCTGACTAAAAGTTTGAATTGCTCAGGTTTTTGTTTAAGCTATGGGGCCAGCATTAAGGTTTTCTTCCTCTCCCTCTCAATGCTTTTCTTTTTCCCATACTCTGCGTGTTGGTCCACTCCATCCTGTCTGCGCTCTTTAGATCTTGGATCCTGGTGCTCCTGGCAGGAGGTGAGGGCTGGCCGAGAAACCATGCGTGAAGGTGCCACCATAGTCTTGCTTGATCTTTTTTTATTTTGTTTTTGTTTTTGTCAAAGGGAACAAAGTATGTCCAGAGACTGTTTGCAAGGAGAGTAGTATGTCATCATCTTTTCCATCCATTGCTTCATCTTCTGTTCTTCTTGGAAACCCAGGGACAGTTGCCAGTGCTAAGACCAACATAATGAAGACCTTTTCTGTTATCATTTCTTATTGTTTTCAACCTTTTCTTATCGTGTAAGTACATTTTTGTGCCATAAGATACTCTTAACATTTAGTTACCATATGTGTCTTGTTTTATAACTGACTTCTCATGGCAATATTAACCACACTGAGGGGTATATTGATGGTTCAAACAATGGTACCATTTTTTACTTTTCAGATAGCAGAGCCTTTGTGAGACCTTTACAGCAGATCAATTAAAAACAAGAGTAATCTAGGCCAATGGGTGAAAATAGGCTATTATCTAAATCCATATTACTCATATGGTTTAGATCAGTCAGAACCTTTTAATTCAGAGTAAGCCTCCAATCCAGCAGGTATTTTGCTTGCTTCCATGGTGTTGGCTGTACACCAATGCTGCTTTTTGCTGAACATTCCTCAAGTTACTGCACCTTAATCTCAAAGAGCACATCCCAGTATGCTAATACTTGTTACTGCTAAACTGGCAGTGCTGTACACAAACTGTCAGAGGAGGTGGGATCACCAAGAAGAACAGAGAAAACATGGTTGTGAGCTAACCTGGGCCCAAAAGTGTGGTAACATTATTATAGTGACTGTACAAGAGTGAATTCAGATTGATATTCTCTCTTATCTTAAGATGATCTGTGTGTGGGAAGGTGAAACCTGAAAGGATCTATTTACATTGTCCCTGAGGCTCAGCCTTCTAAAGGCCGGGGGTAGAAACAGTACAGAGAAATTATACTTAAGTGAAAGTATGAGTATTTTTGTCATAATCTTACTATGTTGCAGTATGGAGCCAAAAATATACTTGAATGAAAGCAGGGGCGAACAAAGTACAGTACTTCTGCACTTAAGTAGATTACTAAAGTGCTACTTGAGTAAAAGCACAAGTATCCTATCTATATTTCTACTTATGTAAAAGTACGAAAGTTCTAATTTGTGAATGTACTGAAGTTTTAAAGGTGAAAGTACACTGAATTATAATATAATTTTGATGAATGAGATCTTTTAAGGAGACCTGCTTACATTAGTACAATTTTGCACATATTAACAGAACCTGTTCATTAAAAGGATCTTATAACTGAAAGTACTTATAATTTTGACACTTAAGTACATTCACAAACAAGCTTTTGTACTTTTACTCAAATAGATAGAATTCTTGTACTCCTTTACTCAAGTACAGAAGTAGTATACTTCATCCGGGAAAAAAATTACAGACATTTAAACATGTTCAAGCATGTGAAAGTAAAAGGCATGTAATGCGGTGGTGTGAGGTATGGCAACTAATCAGCAGTGCTGGTCCTCACACAAAGACAAATTAGCATTAGTATAACAGTTATGGGCAGATTCATTTTAAACTGATATGAATTCGGTTGAATGTTTTAACAGATAACAGTAAATTTTAATGTGCAGGAACTTGGCTAATTGGCAGAGAAAAAGAAAAGTCTCATGGTCTTAGATATGTCATGAGTACTTTGAAAGGGGTAAGGAGCAAGTAAGTTTTTTTGCTAACACTTTACAAAAAGACTCTTATTAAAGGTTTATGAGAATGAGCTTATTAATGGTTATGTATTATCAGAGTAACCCCATAAAATCATAAATAAACAGTTTAATAAGAAGAGATTAATAAGAAGGGCAACAGTGACCTGTTATATCTGCCAGGTTTAAAAAGACTGATGAAGAAGTAAGGTAAGTAACCAGCAAGATCTGAGGTTTAATAGTATAGTTGAATATGGGCTCACTATTTATCAAGCAACACTGTTGCCCTTTTTAATTTATGTGTTATAACTGCTTGTTAAATAACCATTAATGAACTCATGTTAAACTGTTTCTAAATGCTTTATAAGAGTAGTCTGATTGTAACGTGGTAGCATTTTTTTCTCTTGGAAATGTAGTTGAGTAAGAGTGCACATTCAATTTTAAACATACTCAAATACAAACCTTTCCAAATTAGACACAAGTACAGTTGTTAAAAAAACAGTTGCCCTTCCTGAAGGACATGGAGAAGGAAGTGTCAAAATGCCAACAATGACAGCTTTTGCTAGTATACCATCGTTTGTTACATCACTTCTTAAAACTGTAGATTTCTCTTTAGTCTATTATTTTGCTGTCCACAACAACGAGGACTGTTATTTCCATCAAGGAGTTGAAAACACATGCTTGTCCGCCCCTTTTTCTGAGACATCTGAGTGCCTTCATGATGGGTGCGTAGGAGATGTATGATTTCTAGATGTGAAGAGAGGGAGTGATAACTGCAAGGGAATGACTGCTGTCTTGTAAGAGGTTCTAAACGTGGTTTACTTGGATGAGCGCATACATTCTACTGCATTTGTTAACATACATAGGCACATTCATGGAGAAACATACCAGTGTGAGGTCGACACATTGATTGTTCCTTTCATTCTCTTTTAGAGGCTAATGAATTCCTGTTGTTTTGTAAAGTTGATTCAACTACCTAGAAGCACTTCCTGGAAACTTGAAAACCGTTCACTTATTTGTGTGTGTGGGTGAGTGCGTGCATGCATGCATATGTGTATATAGCTAGTTAAGTGATGTGTGTAATGTTGCACGCTTAAAAATATAGTCTTTACATTTTCTTATGTAGAGGTGTCTTTCTGTACCATTGTTTGAACTCACATTACATTTTTCCCCCTTTTGTCAACAATTATATCAATAAATGTTTGAGTACTGTAGATATAAAATAAAATTAAATTAAATTAAAAAACATGCCCTCAAACATAACAGACAGACACACACCAACATGCAGCCTTCTGCTGAGCATTAAAGATGTCAGTTCATGTTTTGATTTTGTTACTCTTGTGCTTTATTGTGTGTTGATGTTGAGAAGCAAATAGACTTTATGTATAAAAAAGAACAGAATAATATTTCAGTTTTATTTATCTCTACTACTCTACCTTCTATTTACTGTACTATTACAAATAACTTAGCTTAAGCTTCCCAAAATATTATTTTAACATGGTAAGTGTCCTTTCATATATGACCTGTACTATATGACTTCACTTAATATTGTACATATATTTTCCTTTCTTTTATTTTTCTGTAGTATTATATAGCTAGATTTATTTGTAAAAACAAAAGAAAAGTAGTCCTATGTACAGAAATGAAAAAAAAGAAAAAAGACTGCAGAACACTGGAATGTGGCACAAACTTTGTTCTCCATTTCAGAGTGTCAGCATCAGGAAAGTCATGATATTTTCTATCAGTTTGTACCTTCAAAAAGTTTGTTGAACCATTCTGAAACCTGCGACAAACGTTTATTCGATTGCCATTAATTGTGAGACTTTACCCAACTTCAGTGGTGTATATCTATATAGAATGAATAAAGAGTCTATGTGGATTTATATTTTATCTGATAGTGAGTTGTTTCACTGTTTCTTTTGTTACTATGTATGTTGAACAGTCCTTACAGTGAGTATTGAGCTTAGATTAAAGCTAGTCCTAAGCAGTTCAGTTCAAGTGAATACAAAGGAAATTTCCTCACATTTCCTCACATCTTAGCTTAGTTTAAGCCTAAGCATTTAATTTCAGATATATATACTGCTGATTCTCCATCAAACCCTGTCTCTGTCAAACGCTGGACTGTAATATTTTTTTTAACACTAGAGGGCTCTGCATAACCTGTTCTGTTACAAAGCTCAAGCCAATCCAAAAACTTTTGCTCTGGAAACCTTGGGATACTACAGTGCTCTTCATTCACACAAACCAAGAAGTAACCCTTTTATGATCCATGAAATCCTGCCAAACCCTCCACCATACATTAATAATGAAGTTGTGAATTTTGTGGTTCCATGTGATAAATGTTTTCACAAACATTTCACAGTGATGCAGTGGTATTAGCTGGATAGACACCTCACCTTTCCTATGGCACACTTAAATGAGCTTGCTACCAGATAAGCACACAATTATTGTTTGCTAGGCTGCAATTTATTTATTTATTTATTTTAAATAAATCATGACATTGCAGGAGGGCTAATCATTGTAATATTACCTTACTTAGAGCATTGTTAACTGGTCAAGTGGCCTGGACCTACATCTTTGGCAGATGAAAACATTTCACTCACTGATGACAGCAGTGAACAGCTCTTCATTTTCCTAAATAGAAACTTGCAGAGGAAGCCTTTCATACAGCAGTCAACCTGTCAGTGAAATATGATTATGTCAATTTTTTCCCAAACATTTTACCAACATGTCAAGAAGCCATCTTAATAAGCAATAAACAACTCTCCAGACAAACATGGAGGTAGATCTTAAGGCAGTGGTGCCCAATCTTATCTGCAAAGGCCCAGTGTGGCTGCAGGTTTATGTTCCAAACAAGCGGGAGCACACATGATTCCACCTGTTTAACCCTCTGGGGTCCATAAACTCTCCTGTGTGGAAAGTTTGATGTTTAAATATATGTTCCTTAATTTTTGTGATAACAGAGTGCAGAAATACAGTTCAAACATTTGCTGAATCTGTAGAGTCTGCCCTTTCGATTCGGCTATAAAGAGGGAAACTGACCAAACTGACCAATAGACATTCACGCCGTAAACCCTCCGTACGTGGTTCAGTTTACAACAGGGACACGAGAAATGACATGCAAAAGTTTACAGCCACTGAAGTTGCTGCAGCAGATTTGGAAAGTAGCAACAAAGATAATGGAGCATTTTGATATGAAACGTATGGGTGTCATGTTATATGCAAGTGCCATTAAATGCAAATTTAAGATGATATGCAAAAATCGAGGAAATGCCATTGGACCCCAGAGGGTTATTCAATTGGTCATCCTTCAAATGACTGATCAGGTCTGCTTCTGCTTTGTTGAAATGAAAACCTGTAGCCACACTGGCCCTTTGTGGATAAGATTGGACATCCCTGCCTTGAGTATATTCTGCAAGAGTAAACTGTGTACTTTCCTGTGTACCCTTTATTCCTAATTGGTTTTTGTTGAGACTGGTAACAGCAATATACAGTGTATGTGGGAACTATACAGGTTCATGGGGTCACTGAGTTTAATTCAGGTCAAATTTATTTGTATAACACTTTCTACAACATACATTGTCATAAAGCAGCTTTGAAGAAATCTGGGTCCAGACCCTTAAAGAGCGAAGTCTAGTGTAATAGTGGCAAGAAAAACCCTCTAAGAGTGTGAAGCAAGAGCAAGAAACCATGATCCAGGACTCAAAATGAGGAACCATCCTCTGGTCAGACTGAACAGTGTTTGTCACTCCCAATCAAGTAAAGCCTGGAATTAGGAATAAGAAAGGAATAAAGATCTGTAAATACTTTGACTCACGGGGCACCATTATGTTCTAGATCCACTAGGAACTAGAGCCCAAGATGTTGTAGTTCTACTGTTTGGGTAAACATTAGAACTAGAACATCTTTTAACATCTTAAAAACCCAGGCTTATTACATAATAAGACTTATTGTTCAGTAACTACAGGGGACTTTAGTGCAAACTGGCTGAGCTATTCTTAGGTTATAAAAGTGTGTAGTAACACTTTGGGCCTGCCCTGGCCGTTTAAGGGGTTAAAAGCATTTTTTAAAGTTCCACTGAAGATGAAGCTGATGAGCTGATCCAGATGTGACGTAACTCCAAAAAACTCTAAACTACTAAGCTTGAGAGCTATATTGTCTACAAGCATTTGTAAAAACTCTACACATCACCATTTACTTCACAAATTAGGTGAAATGACCTGCAACTTAAAGGAGAACAAAACTGCACATTCTTTGCCAGTCCACATATGAAATGGAATTCAACTTATCTGTTAATTGCCAGTTGTTTGGTTTACCAGATGTGTTTGAGCAAAGAAATCTTCACACTGTGCTGACCACTGGCCCACCAGGACTGAAGTTGAACACAAATGTTCCATATGCCTGGAAGGGTAAACACTAACACCACTATCACACACAATCTAAAACATCCCGTTTGAATGGCAATGACAAAATCCCATGAGCTGATAATAATATAAAACTTGAGAGGCCTGAGAATAGACATTTCCTCATTCATTTCATCATTTTATTTTTTGTATGTATTCAAGGGTTATTCATTAATGTAACCCCTTACAATGACATGTTTTTTTTTGTTTTTTTTTGTTTTTTTTTTGTGTGTGTGTGTGTGTGTGTGTGTGCGTTTTTGCAGAAGCAAGACAAGTCGCTAATGTTATAACTAGGAAGCCAAATGTTTTCTGTGGAGATTTTCTTCAAATCATCGTGCACGCTGGGTATTAGAGTAAGAAAACACTGATGAACAAAAGCTTGAAAACGATATAAAACCATCAATTCTGTCAGACCAGTGAGGCTGGTGGATGTATTGCTGAGCTATTGAACACTGCAAAACATGATACATAATATATTAAATACTGTTTTTAAGTCATAGCTAAATTGAAACAGTTTAAAGTCACACTTATGATTCTTCATATTTCATTATATCATTATACATGTCATTATATATTACATATATATGTAATATATAACGACATTCTTGTTTTCCCATAATCTTCCACCAAAATATTTTTATTTTGCCTGCTTTTATAACATTTTCTGATTTTTGGCTACATCATGCACTGGAATGGGAAAAATAATATTAACCAATAATATCATGTTTCACCTCCCGCTCTTACCACCCTTCATTTAGCAAGAATGCTCAGCTAGCTCACATTTCTTTCTCAAATACTATGATGCACTCATAAATATGTCATGGTGTGAAAGGAAATTACGTTGATTCTCTATTCACATTCATAGTTATGGGCTAGGGTCCGTTTTTGGCTATTAAGCCAGGGTCCTTTCACTCTCAACCTAGATGGAGTAGGGGGAATCAGGTTCAGTTGGGAGAACAAATTAACAGTGCAGTTATACGATAGAGCATATCAGTGCTCATATCATCCTCTCAGTGCTATGGTGAAAGTAGTTTTTAGGAGAAAACTGTAAACCACTATTACATTCAAAGACACGGTCCCTAGCTACAAGAGACCAAAGATAAACATCAGTTTCCATCAACATAGTCCCTTCATACAGTACACTGAAAGTGGGTGATGACAGTGGCATAACTGGTTCAGACTGAGAAAAGCCAGCCGAAGGAAACAGACGGTAACAAGCAGAGGCAAGCCTATTAACCCTGAAAACCTAAGGGAAGTCTGAAGTTGACTTGACTTCAAGCTTGCAAAGATTTCATTGCCTTTGCTGACAGATAAGGCCTGACTGAGACTTAATACTGTGGTTCTGTGAAGGAGAGGAGTTGCTCCAAGGTTGCTTTTGTTCATGAGAAAACTCAGAGACAACAGGTATGCAATGTATTTTTCCTAAATATGTACACATAAACAATCAAATAAATGTACAGTCAGTGCTTTCTGAAGTGCTGCAGACAAATCATAAATGAAAATAAGTGTAGAGTTACACTGTGTAATTGTAAAAAGAATACTATTTCCTTGGCAATGTATAGTTCCCTGCAATGAACTAACTGTACACAGATAGTGCTAGATCCTGTATCATCACTGCTCTGCTGTCAGGTAAAATTTGTGCAGCACCATTTGTGATTTTGACGAAAGGGGGAAAAGAACAAAAAAACAAAAACAGCAGAATTACGCATGTTAAGCTGTGAACCCACAGTACTCCAATCAGCAACCAGAGCACTCTGTTTCACCTCTGAGTTTAATATCCATCCCAACTTGATCTGATCCGGAAGATCAGAATGCCCTGAGATGAGTATAATACGTTTCTGGGACATGGCCTGAGTCTTTATTTCCGTTTCCCCTGGCCTGGGCTGGATTCCACTGATGAATGCTGATGTGTGGCTTTAGTGAGAGCAAATCTAAAGTGAACCTTTTAGCCTCCATGTGCCTCATGGATTACTTCCTGTCTGGCCACTGGACTTAAAAGACTAGTTTTTCATCACTACACCCCTTCATTTCTATTTCTGATAGAACACTGAAACACAGCCAGCGTGAGTCTAGCTTCACATGGGCCAGAGTAATTTCATCGTGGCCTGAATTAAGTTCAAGGGTTACAATGAAACATTAAAACACAACATGTTTTATTTGAAAACAATCACAAAAGTGCACACATATGGCCCTTTTCCCACATGGCACAATCATAATCTCCAGTCCCTCCTGCAAATCCTGGAAAGACCAAACCTCTACATGAGAGAGAGAGAGAGAGAGAGAGAGAGAGAGAGAGAGAGAGAGAGAAGGAGAGAGAGAGAAAACAAGATTAAACTTCAGACTAGAGGGGATTTATGGGAGTATAATATGCTACATGATAACATTTCTGCCATGACAAATATAATCATTCTGGATATTAACAGAGGAAATGTTACGTTTGCTGTGGTGATATCCGGACTTTCCTTATGGTTCTTTAGCCAGGAAGAGGAAGC